TTGATGAAATGGACAAATTTCTAGAAAAGTATAATCTTCCAACACTGAATGGAGAAGAAGCAAAAAGCCTGAACAGAATGATAACAGCTGGTGAAATTGAAGCAGTAATCAAAAAACTCCTGGCACTCAAAAGCCCTGGGCCAGATGGTCTCACAGGAGAATTTTACAAAACATTTAAGGAAGAACCAACCCCTGTCCTCAGACTATTCCAAAAAATCCAAATAGAGGGAAGACTCTCTAACTCTTTTTATGAGGCAAGCATCATCCTAATCCCAAAACCAGATAAAGAAACAACAAAGAAAGAAAACTAAAGGCCAATATCGCTGATGAACATAGATGTTAAAATCCTCAACAGAATTTTGACAAACTGCACCCAGCAATACATTAAAAAGGTCAACTACCACGATCAAGTGGGATTCAGCTCAGGGATGCAAGGATGGTTCAATATTCGCAAGTCAATATATGTAATATATTGCATAAACAAAAGGAAAGACAAAAACCACATGATCATATCAATAGATGTGGAAAAAGCACTTGATAAAGTACAGCACCCATTTATGATAAAAACACTCAGCAAAGTGGGAATAAAGGGGGCATACCTCAACATAATAAAGGCCATATACAAGAAACCTACAGCCAACATCATACTCAATGGGCAAAAACTAAAAGCTTTCCCAGGAAGATCGGGAACAGTACAAGGTTGTCCGCTTTCACCACCTCCATTCAACATAGTATTGGAAGTCCTAGCCACAGTAATCAGACAAGAAAAATAAATAAATAGAAGGCATCCAAATGGGAAAGGAGGAAGTAAAACTGTCATTATTTGCAGATAACATGATAGTGTACATAGAAAACGTTATAGACTCCGCCAAAAAACTACTCAATCTCTTAAGTGAATTTGACAAAACAGCAGGATACAAAGTCAATATTCAGAAATCAAAGGCATTTTTGTACATCAAAATGAAATATCAGAATCAGAAATTAGGGAAAAAATCTTATTTGCTATAGCAACAAGAAAAATAAACTACCTAGGAATAAACTTAACCAAGGAGGTAAAAGACCTATACTCAGAAAACTACACAACACTGAAGAAATTAAGTAAGACACAAATAAATGGAAGCATAATCCATGTTCATAGATTAGAATACTTAACATCATCAAAATGTCCATACTACCCAAAGCAATTTATAAATTAAAAGCACTCCCTATAAAAATCAATGATGTATTTCACAGATATAGAACAAGTGTTTCAAAAATTTTATGGAACTATAAATGACTCCAAATAGCTGCAGCAAATTTGAAAAAGAAGGACAAAGTAGAAGGGAGCAAAATACCTGACATCAAACTATATTACAAGGCCACAGTAATCAAAACAGTCTAAAACAGTCAAAACTGGCATAAGAACAGACGCATAGGTCAATGGAACCTAATAGAGAGTCCAGAAGTAAACCCATGTCTCTATGGTCAATTAATATTTGACAACGGGCAGAAGCACAAAATGGAATAAAAATAGCATCTTCAACAAATGGTGTTGGGAAAACTGGACAGCTACAGGCAAAAAAATGAAATTCGACCACCAATTTACACCACACACAAAAATAAACTCAAGATGGATAAAAGACTTAAATGTAAGTCACGACACCATGAAAGTCCTAGAGGAGAACATAAGCAGGAAACTCTCAGATATTCAATGCAGCAGTATTTTCACTGATATGTCCCCTAGAGCAAGGAACATAAAGGAAAAAATAAACAAATGGGCCTTCATCAAAATAAGAAGCTTTGGTGTGGCTAAAGAAAACATCAGCAAAATGAAAAAGGAACCAACCACATGGAAAAATATATTTGCCAGTGATACCTTGGACAAGGATTTGCTCTCCAACTCATAGGACTCCACTCCAGGAAGACAAACAATTCAATTAAAAAATGGGCCAAGGACATAAACAGACACTTCTCCAAGGAGGACATATACAAGGCCCAGAGACATATGAAAGGATGCTCAGCATCACTAGCCATCAGAGACATGCAAATTAAAACCACAATGAGATATTACTTCACACTGGTCAGAATGGCCATCATAACCAAATCAACAAACAACAGGTGCTGGCAAGCTTGTGGAGAAAAGGGAACCCTAGTACACTGTTGGTGAGAATGCAGACTGGTGCCGCCATGTGTAAGACAGTTTGGAATTTCCTCAAAGAGCTAAAAATGGAACTGCCTTTTCACCCAGCAATTCCACTGCTGGAATTATACCCTAAGAATCCTGAAACACCAACTCAAAAGAACATATGCACCCCAGTGTTCATAGCAGCACAATTTACAATAGCCAAGTGCCCATTAGTAAACGACTGGGACAAAAAAAAAATATGGTACATTTACACAATGGAATACTATTCAGCAAAAAGAAAGAAAGAGCTACTACCCTTAGTGACAGCATGGATGGAACTGGAGAGCATTATGTTAAGCGAAATAAGCCAGGGGGTGAAAGACAAATACCATATGATCTCACCTATAAGTGAAACCTAATAAAAAAAACAAACAAGCAAGCAAAATATAACCAGCAACAGTGAAAGAAAAAAAACAAACCAACAGTAACCAGGCAGAAGGAGAGAGGGGGTAATGGAGAAAAGAAGGGGAAGAGTCAAGTCAAGGAACATGTATGAAGGACCCAAAGTGGGGACACAAAGTGGGGAAGATTGAGGGTGGGCAGTGGAGGTGGGTGGGGCAGGGGAAAGTGGTGGCAGAAAATTGGAGACAAATGTATTTGAACAATAAAAATAAATAAAAGAAAAAAAAGAATGAAACTTTAGTTCTTAGCCTTGAAATGCTGGTGACAAAATTCTCAGCCAGATAAGAAGGAAAAAATGTTTTCCTGCCCTCAAAACAGGAAAACAAGGAACATATGTTTTAGCATAAATCTGTCTTTGTAAATATTTTTAACAAGGATAATTTGTCAAACCTCTAGACCTCAGAGACTTTGGACAGACCTTTTAAAATGACCTTTATCCTATAAAACATCTGTAATTCTGACCACTCATCTTAATAATTTAATGCTCTGGTGACAATGTTAACATCTCCATCTACAGGAAGGTAAAATTATTTGTGAATTTTTTTGTCAAACATGAAAAAAATCATTGGCATTCCCCTTTTCTCACACACACAGAATAAAATGGCTCTACTGGATTTTTACTAAACAAAGTGCGAAAGACTGTTGGATGACTGAACCAAGCAGAGAGTAGTGATGTACGGCAGGTTATTCCATGCTGAGCCTAAAAATGAGCCCATAATAAAAAAAATTTAATTTTAAAAAGTCAATCAAGTAAGATGAGTCTCCATTTGGGCCTCAGTGGGAGCTTACCTACCTGTTATCTTTCTCTAGCTCAAACAAAACTTTGTTTAAGAATTATTTGTACTGGAAATCCAGAGTATTAGAAAGTAAGACAATTATGAGGTTTTATTTTGGTTTTGATTTTTGCCCAGAGGTTTTTGCAAGAAGTCAGTGGTAGTATGGGCAACAGCTGAATCAAAGCAGATGGTCAGAAACTTGAGTGCATCAGAATCATCTGGAGGGCTGTTAAAATGCAGATTCCTGGGCCCCACGGATACCATTTCTGATTCAGTGGGTCTGGAAATTTGCATTTTAATACATTTTCAGGGGATGCTGAAGCCGCTGGTCTGGAGACCAGGTTTTGAAAACCACTGGCATAGAACAGTTGTTATTCTAGCATGTTCTATCATTTGCTTTTCTGAGTTGATCAAGTAATAATTTCACCTGATTTGAAATAACTCTTGGTGAGAAATGAAGCTGAGATGGAGTGTATTCCCTCTCTGCAGGCAGGCATGACATGGAACACAGACGTTCCAACTGGTTGCTCTTCCTTAGTAACAGATCCACAACCTACCACTCCAAGATTAAAAAGAAAAGACAAGAAAATAAAGGAAGGAAGGAGGAAAACTTAAGGAAGCTATGCATATATTTTTCTCTTTGAGATATACAGGGTTGGGCTAAAGTAGGTTTACAGTTGTAATACAAATAAATAATACAATAATGAATACATGATGATACAAGAATAAAGTTTCATGTACTCGCAATTGTAAACCTACATTTGCCAAACTCCTATGTATTTTCTCCTTGCTTTTTCATGGAAGGAAATTGCTACTGTACAATCTTCAGCTTTCCCAAGAAATCAATGATATCTTTTATTTGAGTGGGAGATTTATTTTCCCTGTGTGAAAGCTCATCTGAGCTTGTATTTAGGAATTTGTATCTATATTCATGAGTGTGACTGACATAAGTCTTCTTTCTTGTAATGTCTTTGTCATGTTTTTAATATAAAGATTATACTAGCCTCATAAAATGAGTAGGGGATATATCCTCTTGTTTTCTGTACGGACTTGTGTAGGGATTAGAATTACTTTTCCTTGAGTGTTTGATTCGTGGGTTTAGTTGCAGGTGGTGTAGCAAACAGGTCTTTGAGTTTCCTTTGTGGGAAGATATTTAACAATCAATTCAATTCTTTCTATAGATGATGACTAAAGTGAAGCATTCAATGTGACTGAAAATTAGTTAATCATTGTATGGTGCCCCCAACCAGCAGCTATTTTCAGAAAGAAAGAGCGAAGCCCATTTCCATCACAGGCCATTTCCTGAAGGAAAGTCATTGGCTCAGGGCTCCTTTCCTTATAGATGAGTGTGGGATGTTGGGGGGCGGGATCCTCAGAGAAGGCCTCTGGGTTACTTCGAGAGTTCAGTTCAGGGATAGGAATCAGTGCTTTTCAAATTTTTAAAAAACTGTTATATATATTTCATGAAACTATACTTACACTCACTGTCTGTGATGCAGGTTGGTATTTTCCATTCTACCTTATTCTATTCTATTTCGTTACATATATATAAAATATTTCTTATATACTTTTTATATATTACTATACTGTATATATTTATACATAATTTATATGGCATTCCACAAATACAGTATATATACACATAGTCTTTCACAGTCATGGATGAGGTTTGTAAGTGGACTTAGGAGTACAACCAACGCTTTCAGGTTTTCTGTTCAGGGACAGATGAGTCTTTACCACTAGCCAGTGGGGAAGGTTCAAGAGTTACTCAAGATTCACATCTATCAAGTAAGCTACAGTGAATTTAGGTGCTAAGTTCCTGATTCATTCTGTGGCATCAAAAGAACCTGATCGCACTACTAGAAATCCCCCTCCTGCTCTTTTCACGGCCTGCTGGAGAGGAGAGCAGCTGTCAGAGGTGGGCAGAGAGGAAACTACGCTTGAGAGGAAAATGCTGGCACAGTAACACTTCCGGCCCCCGCACCCTCCCGCCACATTAATCCCACCTCCTCTCCCCACTCTACCCCTGCTACCTCCTCCAGCCTGCCTCTCCACTCCCCCATCCTCCCTGCAAGTGGATAATTGGCCACTGGACTAGCAGCTGTGAGGGGTGGGAAGTAAAAAAGAAGCCCGCCAGAGTCCTGGAGTGGTTGCTTCAGGTTGTGTGTGGAAGGACAAAGCCAAGCCCATTGGCTATTGTGGCACCATTTGCCGAGGAGGCCTGTCCTGGTCAAACATGACTGCCATTTTACTCTTCTGAGTTTATGTCCCCAGGACTGGAAATAATTGGAAAGCCAGAACAGAATTAACCACTCACTACATCCACAGGCAGAAGATAATACTGGAAGAAACTGCAGCCTCAAGTTACAGTGCCCCAACAGACCGGGGGCCACACAACAGCAGCCCTGCATCCTTTTTTAATCTAATTATAATCCAATGAAAACTCAAAGTCCCCACTCCTCAAGGCTGGTATATCTCGCCACACCTAGCCCTTTCCGTCCCTTGGGAAAGTAAAAATAAAAACCCTTTATTCTCTGCACGTCCTTCTCTTTGTGAATTCTTTCACAGTTCCCATCATCGACCACCCTGACAACGCAGACACACAGTCGGGGTATTTCTGGGTCGCTGCCATTCACCGCCACCCCCTATCTAGCCGCCAGAGGCCGGGGTTGGGCTCTGAGTCTGGAAAGGGCAAGACAAAGTGCACGGTCACAGTCCCAGGCCCTGGAACAGCGCGGACAGGCTGAGAAAACCTCGGAGTGGAGCCCAAGGGCTGGACATCTCAGCTCACCTAAGACTGGAAGGCCAGCTCCACCCCCAGAGCATAGAGATTCTGCAGGCAGGGTGTTAGCCCAAATTCGCTGGCGTTTCCGGGTACCCACTGCGCCCAACCCTGAGTGGCGTTCAGCTGGGCCAAGCATGGCCTCAGGACCTGAGGTAGGTGAGGCTGGGGCATTTGGGATGCACCCAAGGCGGATTCCCCTGGATGTAGGCTTCCAGGTGCACTAGCTCTGCGGTAAGGGGATGGTGCGGGGCGAGTTATGCTTCTCCCATGACCCTCACCAAAATGCCTGAACCTGGACCTGGAGACCCGGACAGAAGTGGACACTGCGGCTCCAAACCCCAGGCTCAAAGGGAGACACCCATATGCAGAGTTCTGGAGCGCCTGCCTGGAGCCAGAAAGCATAAGGAGGCTCTACAAATACATGAAGGACGTGCAGGAGGCGCCGTTGCAGGGTGAGGTCTGGGACGGTAATCATGTACCCCAGGAATCACCCAGCACGGGTAATGAGGAGGGGATTGGACCACTACATTCCTCATTGGTTCCCTCCATGAGGCCCTGTGAGGTAGGGGGAGCAATGAAAAAGGGTCTCCTTCCTGACAAGGGAGAGGAGTGTCTGCCTAAACCTTTAGAGACCCTTTACTTCTGGGAGGGGTACTCTTGTAATGGGGTCCAGAACTTGGAGTGTTCAAGAGAACTATAGGGTATTCTCTCACACTTCCCTCGCCCCCAGCCTCCTTGGAGGATGGGAGACATGGAGCAGGGCCTTTGAGGGTTACTTTGCATGTCAATAACAGCTGGATAGCTACAGACCTCATATGCAAAGATAGTTATTTTGCATCTTGACAAGTCTAACCAGGAAGGTTTGCATAACTTTAATGCCAGATGTAACTGGCAAGAAGATACAGGGCCTGTGTGAGAGGCGGTGGGGCACAGAAACGGGAACAATGTGAAGACCGGGAAGACCGCGAAGACCGCGAAGTCCGCGAAGACCGAGCTGGAAAGAAAGGGGAGAAAGGACTCTTGCCAGTGGTCCATGAGAAGATGCTATGTTGTTTTGGATTAAGAAATGGAGATCGTGGCGACACAGCAGATGTTGCTGGGAACCGCGAGAGGCCTGCCTAGCTGAGTTCCAGGCTTCTGTTATTTTCTTCTGAAGGAGGTACCCCTGACTGGCCTGACTGGGCAAAGTGGGGGAAAGACAGGACTGTGTGTGTTGGTGGGTGTTTTTAAAGGGAGTTTGAGGTTTCACAGTGACATTTAGCCATTATTCAAAACCTGTATACCTTTTGAATAAATAGGTCCTTTCCTTTTCACCAAACTCTTCCATTGAGAACCATAACTTTTAAGGGCGGCAGGCAAAGAACCTAGAACAGAGGGACTCCGGGAAAGGGGGGACGTTGTTCCAGTAATAGCATCTGGGGCTACCCCCCCCCCCCCCGTCCCCGCGTCAATGGGTCCACATTCTGGGTCCACATTCGGTAAAACTCTGAGTGCTCCTTAATAGGACAAAAGTCCCCTTTTCAGGCCCTTTCCCAGAGCTAGCTGGACTGCATAAAGCATGACTGACCCTAATTGTTTTATGAGCCTTTATCCTCAGGACTCAAAAATTATTGGAAGTGCCCTGAAGGCACAGAGGTTCCAGGAACTTAAGAAACAGGACATACCAGACCACAAGATCGGGACCTGACCCTGCACCCAAAGATAACATCGAAACAAGTTGCAGCCTAACTGAAACACCCTGCTTTATCTACAACCACCCCATTATCCTATAAAAGCTCACAGTCCATACCTCTCAGGGCTGGTGCACAACTCTGCACCGAGCTCTTTCCGTCTCTTGGGAAAGTAAATGTAAAAAAACTTTGCTCTCTGCACTTTCTTTTTTTTGTGAATTCTTTCACAGCCCACATCACCGTCTACCCTAACAATCCTGATCTTATGGAATCATTAAAGGAGTCCAGGTCCTTGGGGAGGGTCTCGAGAGATACTTCTGGTGGTGCATTTTTGCCTTCAGTTCTTACCACGTTTGTTTGGATATATAAGTCCTTCCCATTAACCTGAGGTGGCCTGAGTTTGTGCATCAGCCATTTTCTCTCTCAGACACCATTCTCCGGGCCTCACATCCTCATCCCTCAGCCTGAGATGGGGATGGGATCCAGAAGGATATGGGGGAAAGGGAATCTCTTCTTAGACCAGGGAAATCAGCAGCCCTCCAGGTTGCCTTAAGCAAGACCTGCGTTCCAGGCTAGAGAGAATCATAAGCCATCTCTTCCCCTTCCCAAAGCCAATTCCTTATCTCCTTATAATGGATGTAATTGATGGTCTATTCTTCCTTGGTGCTGTGGTTATTCGAGTGGAGTTTGGATAATACAGATAAACAAGTAGAATGAGAGTGAGGATACCAGGTCTTTTCATCTTGACTTGTGGGTTTCCCACTTCAAATAAGTGAGGTACACATATGCCACCACTTGTGTGCTAGGGCCAGAGATGGTGACTCACAGATGTGCTATAGAGGATGGGAAGGGGTAGGATCATCAGGCAGGCAGGTGTGAGCTTGATAGGCAGGAGGTATGGCCTACGAGGCCAGCCAGCACATTCAAGTAACTTCCTGCAGCTTTGGTCACAGGAGGTGAGGCAAGAACCTGGTGGAGACAGCTTGGATATCAGTCTGCGAAGCAGTCAAGATGGAGAACTGCAGTCAGCAGTTCAGGTCTTCTAGGAGTCCCAGTGCCCAATGTCAGGCGTCTGCCTGTGATGGCCTGCCCCTGTGGGCTGAGCTCCCTGTGCCTGCTGTACATTCAGATCTTCCCCACTTCACAGAGCCAGGAGCTTGGCCAAAAAGACATCCAAGCACCTGAGAAATGGTTCCCCTATCTCCATAAGATCTACTTCAAGCACTCTGTTCTTGCACTTTCCATATTTTTCACCAGTGATTCAATGGGAGGAAACCAGGTGCCAGACTTGATTAAGAACAATCACCAGGTGAGCATGTATGTATGTGTAAGCGGTGCTACGCAACTGTGTGACTGGTTAATCAAAGAGATATCTACCCCAGGCCTATATGAGGAGCAAATTTGGAGTCAAAGAAACTTGGTGGTGTCCCCAGATGTATGGTTCATTGGCAGAAGCTACTGCTGCAGGACAGACTTAGGAGTGCAGTTGTCTAATCTTATGCCTCTCCCCTTCCTGTTTCCAGATTCTATCAGGGTCTGGTATTAAAATGTTTATACTACCTTAAGACTAATGGTTCCTGACTGGTGCAGCTCAGTGGATTGAGTGCTGGCCTGCAAACGAAAGGGTGGCCGGTTTGGTTCCCAGTCAGGGCACATGCCTGGGTTGTGGGCCAGGTCCCCAGTACGGGGCACATGAGAGGAAGCCATACATTGATGCATCTCTCCCTCCCTCCCTTCCCCTCTCTCTAAAAAATAAATAAAATCTTAAAAAATAAAAAAAAAAAAGACTAATGGTTTACTCTAGGACCTCACAAACCCCTCTTCCACCCTGACCTCACAGGGGTGACTTTTTCTCCACAGGTAGCAGAAGAGGATATCCTCAGCTTCAAGTTAAGGACGAGAGATTCAAATACAAAGGAAAGGAAAATTGGTTCATTGCTGTAGGGAAGAATGGCTGAAAATTAAAGAACAGCCTTGTGAGCTGGGGGGAGCTTTGGGGTTTGGTGATTTGGGGTGTGGGGCAGGCCCTCTAGAAAGGCTTCAAGACAAATGTGTCTCTCCTTTAGTGTTTCCTTCCTCATGACTCTGCTGACTCCGGTATCTCTTCTCCAGTTGTAAGTTCGTGTTCCTGTCAGGGCAACACAGAAAGGAGGAAGGACTGCTTCAGAGGTCTTCCTTCACACCTCTCCCAAGAGAATTGTGAAAGATCAGATGCCCCCTCCCACAGCTTAGGGCGACCAGAAATTCTCAGCATGGATTCAAATAGTTGCCAGGTGTATTATTTCCAACATATTATATACATTAACAATTAACATGTGTAAATAAAACTTTTAATCACTCTGTCACATATCCAATGGTATCTAAATACCATAACTTTTAACACCCATAATTAAAATTTAAAATCCACAAACAGCCGTGGCCAGGTGGCTCAGTTGCTTGGAACATCACCCCATACCCCAAAACGTCGCAGTTTCAATCCCTGGTCCAGCAGTGTATGGGAAGCAACTAATCAGTGTTCCTCTCACATAGATGTTTCTCTCTCTAAGATCAATAATAAAAAAAATCCGCGGGTGAGGATAAAAAAAATTCACAAACAACTTCTTCATTAACAGCTGATTTTTTTTTCCCAGTTCTCAACCCTGGCTACATCCTAATATATTCACTAATATACAAGGGGGAACCCCCTCCAAAATAAAAAGACCGGAATTATTTTCTGGAGGGTGGGCCCCTTGTAGTACAGGCTTCCCCTGCTAGGTGAGTTTTCTAGGAACCCATCTGTACTAGCTGGTGTTCTTCTGAGAGGCTGTGTTCCACTTCAGCATAATTTTTTTGAAGACTTTCAACATGTTTGCCCATTTCCTGATGGGTGATTTAAGAGCACACCTGCCCACACTGCACTGAGTGTTGAGCAGATTTTGACCAAAAAACAGAGTGACCCCCACCCCCCACCCTCCTTATTCACTGGATCGCACACTGAGTGACTTTTTTTTTGTTTCCTCGAAGAAAAAAGTCCTCAAAGGGAAATGTTTTGCCAATGTGGAAGAGGGGAAACAAAAAAAAATGGCAGAAGCACTAAAAGGCATCAAAATTGATGAGTTCAAAACTGTTTTGAGCAGTGGAAAAAACATCTTGATAGATGTATTGCATCAAATTCTTTTAAAGGTGGCTGAAGCTTAAACATGTTAGAATAAATACACAATTTTTAATAAATAAATTCTGGGTTTTTTGGGCCCCCTCTCACATTTTTGTTCTTGGAAGTCTTGCTCCATCTATTATGCTTCCTTGCAACAAACTATGTTCCTAAATTAATTTATTTCCTAAGTGTTGACAAAGTTATATGGATTAAGATAATATTACAATTATTAGAGATACACAGCTGACCAAAATAATATAAATAATAGAGATTTTAGTAAATAAAAATATAAAAAGTATAAATTTTTAAAAAGTAAAACTTAACTGAAAATGCATCTCTTTCTGAAATACATAGGGGCTTTATTTTCATGTTGATAAGTTTCTTATCATTATTATAAATATTATTTCTATTCCTTAAATATCTATACAATTTCTACTTCTTTAAAAAAATTTTGCATGAAACAAAAGATATTGTTGATACAAATAAGAATGGGAACAGAATAAGTATGGGAATGGAAAGAATTTTGTTGTAGCAACTTTACCCGATTTTTAAGATTTCTTCTAAGTTATATGCCAAAAATTAAATAGATAATATTAAATACTATTTTTAATAATCTCATAACCCATGTTGAGTTCTTCTTCAACTTTGTTGAAGCAAAGAATTAGAAACTAATTGATTTGCAAAAGTATTTTTAAAT